AAAATAGAATATAATTTAATATCAGGCTACTTGTTGTTCCAGCTGCTAAAAGTGTTGTAGGATCAAAAAACAGAGAATTCCTTAAATGTCACTTTAGTTCTCTTGATGAAATTGTTAAAGAAAAATCTTCAATAAACCAGATCAACACAAACACTCATTTAGAGCTGACACGTTCTCTATCACACCAGATGAATTAATAACGAAGTCATAGTTCTGACATCAGAAATCATTTCAAACGGAGAACAGGTCTGATGTTTGTTTGTTTGTTTGTTGTTTGTTTGTTTGTTGTTTGTTTGTTGTGATGTAACTGATGACTCGTTTTAAAGGCCCACGTGACGCTCACCCACAGTCTCTGTGTTCCAGTGTTACATGAACTCTGGTTTGTCCATGAACTCCGTGAGCAGCTACATGAGCGCGCCTGGCATGACCGGCACCGGCCCCATGAACGCGCCCTACGTGAACCCGGTGGGGGTCAGCCACTCGTCGGTACCGGGCGGGATGTGTCAGAGCCCCGGGGCCGCGGTGCACTCCGGAGCCGGGATGACACCGGGCCTGAGCTCCCTCAGCCCGCCGCCGTACGGCAGCATGATGAGCCCGGTGTACGGGCAGGCCTGCGGCCTCCGGTCCCGGGAGCCCAAACCGTACCGGAGGAGCTACACGCACGCGAAGCCTCCGTACTCGTACATCTCCCTGATCACGATGGCGATCCAGCAGGCCGCCGCCAAGAGGCTGACCCTGAACGAGATCTACCAGTGGATCACCGACCTGTTCCCGTTCTACCGGCAGAACCAGCAGCGCTGGCAGAACTCCATCCGACACTCGCTGTCCTTCAACGACTGCTTCATCAAGGTGCCCCGCTCCCCGGACCGACCGGGGAAAGGCTCCTTCTGGGCGCTGCACCCGGACTCCGGGAACATGTTCGAGAACGGCTGCTACCTGCGGCGGCAGAAGCGCTTCAAGACCGGCAGGAGGCCCGGGACCGGGGCCGGGGCCAGGGAGGCGGCGGCGGGGAGGCCGGGCTCGGAGGGCGGCTCGGTCACCAGCACCAGCCCCGGCTCAGACTCCCAGCTCTCCCCGGCCTGCTCCTCCTCCCCTGCGGCCTCAGAGGTGAAGAGCTCCGGGGTCAAAGCTCACCTGCCCTCCAGCCCCGTGCGCGTGCCCTCCCCTCTCGCGCACACGCAGCAGCTGTTCTCGCATCACCACCATCACGCGCTACTGATGCACGAGGCTGCTCACCTCAAACCAGACCCCCCCCACCACCACCAGCACCACCAGCACCACCAGCACCCCCACCACCCCTACCCCTCCTTCAACCACCCCTTCTCCATCAACAACCTCATGTCCGAGCCTCAGTACGGAGGGTACGGCTGCCCGGTGTCCGCAGCCCCGCTGGTGGCCGTCAAACCGGGCCTGGACCCCCCCCACACCGACACCGGCTACTACCACAGCGTGTACAGACCCATCATGAACAACTCGTGAGGTCACTGGAGTAAAAACTGACCAGGCCACAAGAACTGTGTTCCACTATCCACCCTGTCACAACATCTACACATCTTTATAGAGACACCACTTTTCTTTTATTGCTTTTGTTTCATTCCATGTCTTCACAAGCTCCTTTAACACAATTTAAAATTTTAAAAGTGTGTCTGCTGCCAACAACACCGTCTATCTGAAAACCAGAGCACAGAGGAAAAGAAGAAATAAATCAAATACTTGAATAAGAATGAAACAAATCAGACAAATAAATAAACTTCGGTGTGAGTTTCAACTTGAAGTATATTTTACTGTCACATTTGAAGTCCTGTAGTTTAAAGTGTTTTTTAATTAAACAAAGGGAAAAGCAGCTGAAATTACTTTTTATTTTTAACACTAACCCTGAACATTCCCACGATCTCCTGCAGACGTGGATGAGAAGTGTTCTCCTCTTTAATCCCATTAACTCCAGAGAGTCGTGATGTTTCACAGCTGACAACACGTCTCAGCGAGGACGCTTCTGTAAACTCACCGCTGCAGGAGAGTTGGTTGGAAACGTGTCGTGGCAGCCGGTCACCATCTTCACCACGTCAGACTCATAGACTGTAAATAAAGATGGACGACTGTCTACAATGTAGGACGCAGCCTCCTCCGGGTTAGTGGATGGGACTCATTCTTAGATATTTTCCAGTTTCATTTTATTTACAGTCTATGGATTAAAGTCACAGCAGCACCTAGTTCTATATCTATTTATCTATATATTCACTTCAGCATGTTCACATCAGACTTTATATAACGATGGACGACACAACATCTGCATGACTCTATCGGTCGTTAACCCGACTCCTCCATGTTAGCAGATGGGGCATGGACCAAACTAAAAACTTTGAATTAGTTATTTGATGAAACAGGCGGAGACGTCATGATTGACAGCTGAGACCGACTCCTGATTGGTCAAACATGTGTGCTGACGGGATCTCGATACCACGGCTCCACCCCCCCCCCCCTATCGCTACTTTGCAGACAGGTGATGTCATTGGTGCGCGGTGGCAGCGTTCAGGGACATCCAGGCTTTGTTTCTGGACAGAGGGAGGAAGTGGAGACGCATCTTTATTCACAGACTCGGTCGTGAAACCCTCCAGAGGCTGTGTTTGGTTTTCATGAGCAGCTTGAGGACGTTTAATATCTCTGACAACCTGAGTTCTCTCATGTAGCATCGTGTTGTTATTCACTTTTTTAAAAACACATGAACGCTTAAATAAATCATGACTGAGGTATTCACTGATGTTTTTTATGTCTTAGAATAAAATGTGAAAATGTCTAAAGCTTGTCTGAGCCACAGACCTGATTATTACAGACCGACCAAAAACCAAAAGCCCGTCCCACAGTCTCCGGTCATGCAGGAGGTGGACGTGCAAACTTATTTCTGCTTCTCACGAGTCGTCCTGAAGCTCAGAGGGACAGCGTCCACAGACAGCGCAGGTTGTTGATTAACTTTACACACAGGATCAATAGATTGTGTCCAAACATCATCTCGTGTTGAATATTAAACACTTCAGTGCTTCTGTCGCTCACTCAGGGATTTACAGACAACATGGAAACCACGGCCGAGACGTACCTGTACACACGAGGTACTGAGAGTACTGCAGATACTTCATAATCAGTGTACACGTAAACTGATTCAATACGTTTTAGTGCAAGAATACAAAACTATGTTTGTTGCGGAGACTGCTGCCGAGCTCAGTGTCTCTGATACAACCCTGAACAGCTTTTCATGAAATAGTTTCCTGAGACAGGAGCTGTGTCATAAACTGTTAAAGATAAACCAAAGATAAGACCTGATGCTCTGATGTGAGTTTGGTGAAGTTTAGTTTTAGGGAAACATCGTGGTTTGGGTTAAAATAAGTATTTTATCACCACTAGACGTCACTTCACAATAAAATGAAACTGGTTGGTGATTAGTTGCTGTATCAACAACTTTTTTATGTAATGGATGATTTTAAAAATTCAGTTTCGGTCTGAATATGAAGTTAAAGCGTTGACCTGTCAGAATCACAGACGTGGCAGGGTTCATCCTCTGAGGAACGCGAACATCTGTTTAAAACGCCGTGAAACAATGCGTGTGTGCGCTGCTGAGGTTCACAGAGCTGCAGAAACCAACACGGAGGTTTGAAGGTGTAAAGTGGAACATGGTTCCTGACCTACATGTGTTACTCCACAGAAACATCCTCTAAAGAGGAAAATGAAATCTGGACGTGGTTAATTCTCATAAACAAAGGCTGATATCAGTGCCGAGGTGTGAGGGGCGGTTTTCTTCAGACTCGCCGCCGCAGAGCGTCTCCGTTTGCTTAAGAAACCAATCAGCACGTTATGAATAATAATGACCTGTTTCTGAGGAGGAATAATGGGAAGGCTGCATGCAGAGCCGGTCGAGGTCAGGGCTTAGCCAGCGATGCTGTGTTTGGACAAGGAGTGTTTACCACACACACACACACGCATGCATACATATGAGGGATGTCCTCTCTTAAGCTCTGTATGCACAACTCCTCCTACAGTCGAGCTCAAGCCCTTCAAGAATCAGAAGCAGAGTCTCTGAACTCATCGATGAAAATGGTTTGTGTCTCCATCAGCGAGTTAAAGTGGCCCCGGAGTGAAAATCAAATGAATCTGTGTGACTGTTAGAATCCCAGGATTTTTTTTTATCTAGCGTCACCAGCAGGTCAAAGCTTGCAGTCGTCCACACGGGCGGATTACTGGACCGGCCCGCTGGGCACCACCGTGTGAGGTGTCCGTCAATATTTCTATGTTTGAAAGAGAAAATTTGACCTTGAGGAGATGCGAGACACAAAGAAACCGTGAAGACGCAAAACCACGAAGACTCACAAGACAGAGGGACACAAAATGACCACAAAGATAAAAACAGGGAGCATGAAAAGATTCAAAAGAACCAAGAAGAGACAGAACAACAGAACATCACTGAATGTCCCACTTGTAGACATCCGTCCTCTAAATATGACAAATGTTTCAATAGATCCATGAATTCTTCATAAAGCGTCCTCTCACACAATGTTGAATAAAGTGAAAGAAGAGTTCCTGGATCCACAGCAACAGTCACTGGCTTCTTCCTCTGACTCATATCACATCCTTCATCGAGGTTATTCAGAAATCTGTCCAGCAGATTTTAGCTGTTTACAAACCTACAAACTACCGGGAGTGAAAACATGAGCCGCTGATGTCACGATCACTGAGTGTTATTAAACGTAAATTGATAGAAAAATGATCACAAAGACACAATAAGGACGTAAAACAACCACAGAGACACAAAAAGAGAAGTAAACGATTCAAAGACACCGAGAAGAAGAGACAAAGAGACATCACACGACCGTCAAGATTTAAAACAACCGTTCTGTGTTCTAGCTCGTGAGAGGAGGCGGAGACGGGAGGTGCAACATATTCTAGTGTGTATGTGCTGCGTGTTGTATGTCACTATGTTCTCTATGTTAAATATCTTTGCATGAAGGACGTTCAAGGATCTGGGAAACTGTTTGATGCCAAAAGAAGAAGTGAACATTCGATATGGACGTTTTTCACACCTGCTCTAAAACACTCTGTGTTTCTGTCTTTATCTCGTCGCCTCCTGGTTTCTCCTCAAATCTCTGCCTCCTCTGCAGAGCTCGAGCTGCTGCTGCCGGACCACGTGCTCCCTGAGTAAACCTCCACACCTTCCTCATATTTGCCTTCGGCTTTAACGGGCCCTCGACTGGTTCCCGGAACAAACCAACCAGAGGAGGAGGCGACGCTGGTGACGAGCTGAAACCCAGCAGACTTCATTCGGTTTGTCTATGCGTCGGAGACGCAGGAGAAACGTGATGCGGTTCTGCCGGAGCTCAGGATGAAGTCATGTGACGATGGTAGATGATAATATTTCTATCAGATCACACAGTCAGAGGGTCGTCTGATCGATGAGTCACCGCTTCACTCAGCGCTGTTTGTCAGAGAGAATCACTAACTCAATTTTAAATCACTACGAATCTCAGCTTCTTCTTCTTCTTCTATGTTCCTGACGTGAAGAGTGATTTAAAAAGAAGGAAGCTGAGCCTGACACATTATATAATGAATCACTATTTATATCCAAGTAAAGATTTTACTGTGGTAGGTTTGTGCACAACCATAAATATAGAAATATATAGAAACAGGGAACAGTATAAAATAATATAACCACTAAAGAAGACTGATGTTTCATCAATGGTGGAGCACGTTGGCTCTCAGCGATGAATCAGCCTCTGGGGTCAACAGCCGATAGTTTCTCTGGTGTAGAAGCAGAAATCTGGACCAACACTCTTCTGTCCTCACTGTCCTCACTGTTTACTGTCCCACACGTTTCTTCTATCAGAGACAATCTGATGCATTCAAGTTCCACAGGGACTGTTCACCTGCAGGAACCAGAGCTGCTCGAACACAAACCACAAGCTTCTTGTTACAGATTCTGTTTTAAGTAGAGATTTTAAAACCTCTTGTTTGTTCCTATAACGTTTCATTTTGCTCCGAACATCCAGGAGCTGATGCTGCTGACGACGACCGAGGTAAAAGTTTGAAAACACCAGTGTCGGCCTGCTTTAGATTTAGAATGTGTTCTGACGACACGTCCACGAACGTCTGATTAAGAAGACGATTACATTTTTTGCCAAGTGCAGCGTTAAAGCAGAATTTCTCGTGTTTGATGTGTGAGTGAGAGAAGCTTGGTGCTCTAATGTGGACGTGTTGAGAACAAACACAGAAGCTGAGGTCTCTCAGCGGGGGGGCGTCTTTGAACCACTGATAATTCAGAAAAAAAAAAAAAACTCCATCTGAGATAAAGAGCAGTTTGCCATTCATGGACATGTACAATGACGCTTTCTTAAGGCGAAAAGAGCTTAAGAGTCAATCTGGTGCCTTTCAGACCTCCAGCCCGGCCACCCAGAGAGCTCTGGGCCTGGGGCTTTACGGTGGGATGAAAACTGGCGGGGAAACCGTCAACTGCGGCTAAACGTCAGAGTTATCGGCCAAGATGTCGTCTTCACGCTCCTGAATCTGAAGTGTGAGCATTGGGCTAAATATTCCTCTGAAGGTGAGCTGCAGCGCCACGTGCGGCGCTAAACTCGGCCGGCTGCCTCTACGCCGGGCGGCCAAATACAACAAGTCAGCAGCAGGTCACCTGACGGTACAGTTTTACAGAGAAAAGGCTTTAAATGACATGAAACCAGTTATATGTGGCGTTGACTAATAGCTGGCGACGCAGAGCCGCCACAACAAAAAGGCGCCTGAGACGGCGCCTTGATTCATGGGAAAGCCGTGGCTCTGCCTTTGTGGCGGCTCCTCCACTGAGCAAATACTCCAAACTGTTCATTCCCTGCCGGCCCTTTCTCTCCTCCACCACATTGTTTGTGCCCTCGCATTTCATTGAGGCTGGAGGGGGGGAAGATTGCTCTCAGAGCCACTGAGCAAACAGTGGAGAAAGGAGCCTGCCATCTTTACTCTGTTCCCAGGAGAACTTGCCTTTTTTTATTTTTTCATTTCAGCTCCAAGCTGTCGAGCTGAGCCAACAGTTTGATGTCAGAAAGCTGAATTAATTGCTTTAAGCCGAGGGGGCGGGCCACCCATCACCAAACGCTCCCCGAAATGTTTTACCGGAGATTATTAAAGATTTCCCGCTACACAAGGTGCACAAATATTACACGGCAGAAAGAGTCGGACTTAATTTTCTTTTATTTATGGTTTTGAGTCATTTCAAAGAAAAATCTGCGGCTGCTTTGTGAGCAGGTCTTTAGGATTATGTCTGAAGATTATTTCAGTTTGGTCTTTTTCTTCCAGAGAAAGAAACACAGGAC